AAAAATTATAGCTAATTTTCTATATAAATTCTTTTGTATTATTATAAAATTATTGCATTATATATAAAAGTAAAATCAAAAGATATAAAATTGCAAAAATTATAATATATATGAAGTATATATTATTATATATTTATATCTTTTTTTTATTCTATTCATTATAAATTGCATAATGAATATATATATATATATATAACAGACAAATCAATATATATTTATTTAAATTTTTTATTCATAAAGATAACTTATACATTTCATTGTATGAAAAATATATGAAAATTAATTATTTGTAATTATTCACAAATTTAAAAAATAAAAATAATTGGTTATTATATTTAAAAAGAATGATTTTGAATCAGGTACAAAATATTTAAACTAAAAGACGTTCAATTTCTTGTTGTATAGCTTGAATTTGTGGTTTTAATTGAGAACCTTCATTAACTGTCACAGAACAAGCAACAACAGGTCTAGATACACCACAAGCACGACCTAAAGCTTGTTTGCTTCTAACAAATACATATGGAACATTCTTATCTTCACATAATAATGGCAAGTGTAATAAAATTTCTAAAGGTTCTGCATCTGCAGCCATTACAATAAATTCTGATAGACCACGATTTAATGTTTTTGTTGCTTCATTAGCTCCTTTTCTTAATTGTTTATAATTCATTGCTTGTTGTACTAAATTTAAGATCTTAGCAGTTAATGTAGCATCTGCTAAAGGATATGCTTTAGGATTAACTTCATCTCCCTAGAAAAAAAAGTATAAAAAAATAAACAATAATATCATTATAAATATTTTAATATAATATCAATTTATAAAGAAATATAATATAATATATATAATATATATATAAAGAAGTAATTAAAATTATTGCTATTTATAATTATATTTTATATTAATTAAAATGATTAAGTAACCACGTGTATAAAACTTAACCTATAAGATTATACTATATAAAAAAATAAATAATTATAAGAAATAATAAGAAAAAATAATTTACCATTTTTGTTAATGAAATTGTATCTTTAAATATTCTTTTGTTAAAAATAATAATTTTTAAATATTAAATACTCCTCTCTGCGTTTTTATATAAAAACCGCTTCACCGAGGACAAAACGTTCAAAATCACTTCACTAATAAAACCCAATACTATTGCTCTTACTCTTCAACTCTTTGCAAGTTTTAAATATACAAGGTGTCTTATTTATATCGATTTTTGTATTTTGGAATTTATTGATATTGATTTTAAAATATTTCGCATAGAAGTTAAACATTTTTATAGATATATATATCTAATTATATATATGTACATAAAAAATTAATTTATATATATGTTATATAATATATATTATATAATATATAATATAATATATGTTTAGATATTTTTATTTTATATATTTAAATATTTTTATTTTTAACTAGATTAATATAAATAATATAGTTCATTATTCTTCATAAAAAGAGTTGTTATTTATATTAAAAGTTATTATAAAGTTTATCATAAAATTTATATATATTTATAATATATTTATATTTTTTTTTAAAGTTCAACATATCTTTTATATATAAATATATTAAATATTTATTCAATTTCTTTGGTTGATTTCGATCTTATTAAGTATTTTTTTAGATAAATTTACATATTATTCTTAAATTTCATATTTTATATCATTTTAAATACAAATAATAAATAAGCATATGATATTCTTCTTAATAAATGATCATTTTTTATTTTTAAATGTTTTGATAAAAATAAAATAATATCAAATTTTTATTTTTAGTATTAAAAATTCAAAATGTTCATCTTTATCTATAATATCAATTTAATAATTCGAAAATTTATATACGATACAATAATAATGATTATAACAATTTTTGAGTTTGAATGTCTTATTTTTAAATAAAATTAAAATATCTTTTACATTAATAGCTTTTTATATAGATAAATTGATAAAATTAAATAATTTTAAAAAATATTATTAAAAAGTTAATATACTAAAAAAAGATTCTATTAAGAAATAACGATATATTTATAAAATGATCACAAATTATGTATTGTTTACATTTTATCAAATTTTATCTAAAATATTTCCAATTTTATAAAGAGTTATAAAGATTAGTTACAAAAAATAATTTTAAAGATACTTGAGATTGATATAAATAAAACATATATGTCTTTTTTAATGAGTCGAATAAAAAAAAAAGTAAACAAATCACATTTTGTGATAAATATTACGACGTCTACTAATAGCTAATAGTTATTAACAAATAATGTATAATTCAGTGATAACTTTATTCTATTTAAATTTCATCATTAAATTTGATTAATATCAATAAATATATTTGATTTAATATTATTATATTAAATCATATTATATATATATGATATCATATTATATATATATAATAATATATATATCATATTATATATATATAATTTAGCAGATATATTTGCTATTTTATATAATATGAGTTCTAAATATTAATTTAGAAAAACTAACTTAACTTAGAAATATTAACTTAAATATTAATTTAGAAAAATAGTTTTTTATTT